GTCCCGCCAGCCCGGCCGCCGAGCTTGAGCTCCGCCGGGAAGCGTGAGGGGCCGGGGGCGGGCTCGCCTCGGGCTCCCGGGGGCTTCTTGCGGCCAAGGACCTCCCGTGGCTGGGCCCGTGTGCGAGGAGCCAGGCGGGGTGCCGCTCTCCGGCTGCGGCCGTCGCCGGCTCCCGCTTGGCGTTTGCGGGGAGGACGCAAGGCTTGGGCCGTCAGGAGAGCGCTGTCGGTGCGAGCGGCTGACCGCGTGAGCGTTTGCGGAGGTAGAAGGTGAATTCAAGGCTGCTCCCCGGTGTCTTTTTTTCTGTCGCGACAGCGTCTGTTCATGCCCACCGATCTACCGAAATTCCCGTGCTGGGCTGCGCGAGCACCGCGGTCGCTCATCCTTCGCTGGGGCGGGAGATGTTCACGCTATTTAGGTGAACGTACTCGGCGAGGGCGAAGCCGAGACCTGCCACACAATCCCTTCCTTCAGACCCGCCTCACTGAACCTCTTTGTCTGGTGACCTTTCCACAAGGAAGTCATGTGTGTAATTGAGGATTAAATAACAAAATACAGTCTTATAGCAAGATGGCTTTGTGAAGTCGTATCCCCCCCTCCTCCCCAGTCACTGGTTTCTCAGAAATAGAGTTGTGTTTCTATCAAATCACTTACAGACATGTCTCCAGAAACATTTTCAACCCCATTATGCCAAACGACATTTTGAGGTGCCTGTGTTATTACTAATCATTTGTTAGGTGCAGGGCCGATGCTTACATTCACAAGAAACAAGGGCAAATTGGAAAAATATTGTTTTGCTTCATTGCATCTAATCCCTCTAAACTCTTCTTGTTCCTTTTATCCATGGTGTTTGGCTAATATGTGAGCAGCCTCTCTCTAGGCTACGGGAGATGAGATAAGGTAAAAAAAGTGGCTATTTTTCTTCTGGATTGAATCAAACAGAATCATACGGCCACCTTTAGTTTATGAACACTGGCTCTCAGAGAAAAATTTTCTGGAACAACAAATTCTGCAGCAATTGCTGTTGCCTATTTCTGACCCCTCTGTGGCACAGAATGCTTTTCACCAGAGCAAGAATGATATTAACGACCAAGATTTTTAGGGGTGACAACTAACTTTCAGAAATGAGTTCTCCATGCTCTCTGAAAAGCAGACTGCAGCAGAGTTATGGCAGCTGCTGCTTCAGCTTTACAGGAGAAAATAAATCATTTTGGTCTTGAAAGATTTAAGGATTTTCTTCTGAATCCCACTTTACACCAGAGTAAAACAGTACGAATTTTCCTGTCTAAATTACTGGTGGCTCTTTCCTTACATAGGTCAACAGAAAGGGTTTCGTTATTAAGGTAAGTGGCTTTCTTGCCACTGCCTCTCTTCCTTACAGCTTATCATTTGCCAACTCTTAAAACCTCAGCACAGTTTTCTAATATCAGCTGCTTCATTTCCATTTAGATATTTTTTTGATGGTGTGCTCTTTTTTTATTGCTTTAAATTACTTACAAGCCTGCCGTTCTGATGGGAATGAGTTCTCTGGTACAGCAATGTGCTTGCTGTGTAGTTAGGAAAGCTCAGTCATGTGATTTCAGGATTTGAAGGTTTTGCTATGCTCTGGTTTTGCTCTGTGTTCAAGCTCTAATTCCTTTCTATAGGCACCCCCTCTCCACGCATAGCTGAAGCAAAGTCAGAGCTTTGATCTTACTGAAGACTGAAGCCCACTTAGTTTGCCGAGAAGTCGAGTAAGGTTGCTGTGCTCACGCCCTCCTTGCTAAGCCCACCCCTGGAGACAGCGACAAACAGAAAAAAACCTCATAGTCTCCCAGCATGAGGAACCACGCGCTACATATCTGCATGCTTGACCCAGCGCAAAAATACAGCCAGCCAGAGTGTGTTTTGGTCTCAGTGTGGCTGGCTGCCTGGTCTGGGCTATTTCAGTGAGGAGAGCATTCTGTAAAGCTGAGGTGGGTCAACTAATAGTACAGATTTAATGTGTGCTGCTGCATTTAGTGGCTGCTGTTAAGATAAAGGCCTACTCTCCTTAGTAGTAAAAATAGTAGATAAATTTTTCAGAGCTTCTGGAGGAGAGAGAAGGGCAGGTGTTTGCTCATCAGGTTGCTAACACTAATGCTCTACCACCCACAGGGATGTGTTGGAAGGCTCCTACGGCTGCCCTAGCACAAGCCTCTTAAAGGATGAGGTACCATCAAACTACAGCAGCTGCAGCTCCTTTCCCAGTGACCGTATTCTGGTGTGAACTGGCTGCTGTACATCTGAATGCCCCATTCAGTTGAGGACAGGGAGTTGTTTTGCTGCCCCTTAAAGCAAAAGGAGGTTGGACTGTCTAGAGGTCTGACTCTAGCTGTGTGCTATTTAGGGGGGAGGTGGGAGAAAACCTGCATTGGGACCAGCTGTTATGTCTCCACACAGCAGGTACTCATTTTCTTGTGAGTGGGATAGGACTTCAGTACTTCCATACAAGTCCAAGAAGGAGTTTTTCTATAAGCAGTGAATTTGCTTAGTATTGTTTGAGGTTTTTCTCTCCCACCTTCTTCATAACATCAGCAGGCAGGACATGGATAGTGAGGAAAAAAGCAGGTGAGTTTATCAGAACTTAAGGGGAGCATGAGTCCTTGTTGGTAGGATCCAGTCCTCAGATAGAAAAGATATGGGGATGGCATAATGAACCCATGACTAGCTTAAAAACAACAACAAAAATATTTTTGCACGGGCTGGGCTCCAGTCTTGCTGGGGTAAGAAAAAGGAGGTAGAGATCCTAGTAAGTGATCTGTAGCTAGCTTAGGTATAGGTGATCGTATGTACCTGTGCAGGAATGCTGAGTTTCTCTGGCTTCCTTAATTGCAAATGCACTTGCAATTTTATT